ACTCTCTCTCTCTCTCTCTCCTCTCTCCTCTCTCCTCTCTCCTCTCCCAATCCCTTACATATCAATACAAAACTTAACAGTAATTTATATGCAATATATACAGGCATTTAAAAAATAACAAAAACCAAAAGTTTTTTTTAATGAGTTAATAGTAGTTAACGGTGTTGTAAGAAATCAGGTGAAATAATAATAGCCTAACTTACCTTGTCTTACAACAAATGCCTGCCCCTACACATACAGTGTGTGCATACAAACTAGTATACATGCATTTGATTACCTGTGCAGTTACAGACACACTGTATTATATAACTTTATATATTAAAATGTGTATTTTTAGCCCATGTTTATAATTACTGTTAAACTTATTTTAAAAAAGTTATTTTTTTGGTAAAATATTTTACCAAAAAAATAATACTTTTGCTTTTCAAAGAGTGTTTCATATTTAAACATAACATACAATTCATTCATAAAAGTGTATTAAATATAGTTTTGGTTATGTTTTTGAAAAACTGTGTATATTTTGCGTGAAAAAAGTTTTATATGGTTTTCGCCAGAAATATTTTGCATCAAAACAACTATAACTCTATTCATGTATTTGTTTTGTGTATTTAATATTTACCATATTCTGCACATGAAATATAATATTACCATAATAATAATAATGCTATTTAAAATTCACGGCAAACCAAATGCATTAATGCTAATCAAATAGTAAATATTTTTACACAAAAATTTTGCAACTATTTTTTGCTAATAAATTATATGCTGTGAACGACTGACAAAATAAACGTCCAAATGATTAAATACAACATTATTTGGTGAGTTTGTTAACTTTCTATTACCTGTGTAAAATAATTTGTAATATTATGTAGTTTTAGAAAATTGACATCCAACATATTCATAATTCATTAAGTTTATAAATAATTTATAACAACTAATATATTATTGTACAGGTTTTAATAAATATATTTTGAAATCAAATTATTAATTATTTATATATTATTTTAAACATTTAACATTAATGTTAGTTATGGTAAATTTTTTATGTACTAAATTAAATTAATATTTAAAATACTATTTAAATTTAAAATTATTTTCTAAATATTATATTTTACATGCTAATCTAAAAATATTTGTGGCAAACATAGCAATTATAAATAGTGCAAAATAGTTATAATATTTTTCTTACATGTTAATAATTGAATATTTGCCAGGATCTTTTGTAAATTATAATCACTTTATATAAAATAAGATTTGAATATGCTAACATTTATTTATGTAGATATTATATGATAGTTAATTATGGTTTCATTGGTAAAATGACTATGGGATAATAGTGCGGGTTTGATGTGTACAATGTTTAATTAGGAAATATTATGTTTAACTATTGATTTCAGTGCAGAATTAATTCATTTCCAAACATTACTATGAATTGATTGTTGTTTGCAAAAAAACATCATGATTACTATATTATGCTTATTATAACTTATTGCACCAATTCATGAGAGAGAGAGAGAGAGAGAGAGTTGGAGACTAAAAATTTGTGAGAATAGTCTAGTTAAAATACACTTCTGGTTATAACATCATAACCACAGTCACAACACACGGTGAAAGTGAATTACATTAATGCTTCATAAATATCTATATACTGTATGAAAAGTCTAATAACACCGGAATTGTGTACTGAAAATCATATAATAGTTATTTGAGTTGTGCTCTCACTATCACTCCCAGTGTTATATCAAACATACATATCATAGGTATTGAAAACATTTCTCAAATACATAACAGTATTATTATTGTATTTTGTAATGAAAATAAATTGTATTGTTTTTATACATTTAGTTTTTTTTGTACATTTCTATGTGTTTTATAACTTGTATTTAATGTAAATGTTTAGTGTTTAATGAATAGTTGCGCTCATTTTGCAGCAATTTTATACCTATTAAATAGTTTTTGATTTTAGTTTTTATTATCATTTTTTTTGCCAACAATTATATTAAATTTCCTATCGTTTTACATATATGTTTCTATGCAAACATTTTCAATCTCGATAAATATTTAAATATTACACAACTTTTAGCGCTATATTATTGTTAAATATGATGTTTTACTAACTTATAAAACATTGAAAATTAATGCAAATTATAATTTAATACCCATTAGTGTAGCCCTGGATATAGTAATAGGAGTTTAAGTTATTTTACTGTCAATAAATTTATTTCCCATCAAATCATATGGAAATCTACTGTTAATTAAATTATATAACATTTATATTAATACTTTTATTTCATTTACTTTTATATGACTTGTGATCAAAACCTATTTTACATTACAATTCAATAGATAGGAAATACAGTCTAACCTAACATTTCCTATTGAAAGCTCATCCTATCAAACATTACACTGTATTTTAAGTTTACATTAATGCAAAAAGTGCAAAATGATTTATCTATCTGATTTAATCATAATCAGTATCTCATAAATACCTGTTAATTATATATTCAATGCTAACTCAATAGGAGTTTTCCACAAAAACTTTTTTATATTCAACTACTATACGACTACTTTGTCCATAGGATTAACATTAAGATGTAATCATAATTATAAATAACACAACAAATACTGCTATTAATTATTAATGAAATACAAGTAATAATTTTTGAAATACAGTGTTTTAAAAGTTTTATTTTATTTTTCAATCAAATACCTAAACGTCAATGAATTTCCAGTGAATTCCCCATTGATTTGTGAAAATAATTTTTAAATGTTGGTAAAAATAGCTAAACATTTATACTATTATATCAATAGTAATGGAAAATAATATTTAATACAATTATTTCAATCAATACTCATATTGTTTGCCGTGTTTTTCGCTATATATCCAGTGTTTAATCAGTGCCTAAACTATTGATTTAAATGTTATTTTAGTTATTATTTCACTATTTATTGTTTAAAATGTTATTTTTGTGTATATTTTTTGTTGTAATAATGAAATTGTAGTGTTTTTTAGTGAACATTATTTAATATTTATAATAATAATACTATTTATTAATACATATTTATAATTAATTCACATTTTTCTTTATGGTTAAAATTCAAAACCGCATATAATTATAACAAATGAAGACCAAAAACACCATTCAAATAGTCGTAAGTGAATTAATGTTATATTTTTACATACATTATATAAAACACAAAATATATGTTTGATTACAACATATAATTTAATACACAATTTCCTCAAAACCTGTAGTGTTTTTGATTTGTGATTATCTCCAGAAATATGTGACAAAAAATATTTTAACCAAAAAATATACACAAAAAACAATACAAACCTATATTTCAATCAAAAAAACCTCATTTCATTATTGAGACAAAACATAGATTTCAATACAAATCAGTATTTAATTTCATTTACAAAAAACACTTTCGAGATAACTATACAATTAGTGCCAAAACAACTAACATAACACTTTTTAAACAATCTATTTAACAAAAAATTAACAAGGTAACTTGCAAAACAATTATAAAACACCTTGATTATCTCCTAAATTCCTACCTTGCTGACTTTAGGAAACTCCCGACATAGACAGCCATGACTTCTACGCCAACAACGGTGTCATAAACCCAGCATTTTTGAGCACCGGTGACACCGACAACGACCCACAACCTCCTGAGCCGCCACACCGGCAGCAACACCAACACCGCCAGCACCAGGACTACTACCAGTACCAGCACAACCCTAACCCACAGCCAAAACAACACTCACTACACCGACAACAACACCCGTCAACACCAGCCGTCACCACCACTACCGGTGCCGCCGATACCAACACCGACTATCGGCAAACCTATTTCCGGCCGACACAGGTTACCAACCCGTACGGCAACGGCTCGTCAATCGCCAGCTCCTGGGTGTATGAGTTCAACAACGGCTCGTCCGTCGGCACTAACAGCAACACCAGTAGCCCATCCACGGGCACCACATACACAGGCGAGTACATAGGCATGATGTCTGGGCCCACGACTACCGGTGCGACACTGCCGTCGATACACAGGCCCTCGTTTGGCCGATACGACCCACATCTGGCCTACGATATGGACCTCACACGAGATCATAAGCTCAATGGTGGCGGTGGGGCTACTGGTGCTGATGGCCTCAGCCATGGATCTAATGGCCAGTGCTGTCGGACAATGTTGAGGCTGTTTGTGTGGGCGCTGATACTGGTCTCCCTATTGGGTATATTAATATCCGTGGCCTTTATTATATACGTAGAGAAGTTTGCCCCACACCAGCCCTCCACCGGTGCCGTCCAGTGTTGTAATAGCAGTATTAGTAGCGCTGGTGTTACCGGTGCTGGCGGTGGTAGGGATCGGTTTGACAGGAATATCACTGAGCCGTCGGTGGTGTCGACTATGAAGAAAGTCGTTGATAATAAGGTAACAACAGTACCGCCGCTGAGCACCAGTCGACTTGTGCCGACCCCCGCCACCAATGCCACAGTTAAAGCCACGTTGAGTCCAGTGGAGCCCCGATTTTCCATACAAACCCATATGACAACCACCGGCGCTCCCGAAGTCAATGATACCGATATGACTACCACTGGACTACTGTCGCTGAATACCACGACCGGTGCCAACACTACTGGTGAGCCACTGTTGCCCACAACTAATGGGACAGATATAAGCACCGGTGGGGACGTCAGCGACGGCACCGGTAGTACAGCGACAACTGTTACCACAACCACGACTACTACAGCCGCGCCTGTTGTTAACATAACCGCACCGGACGTCAGCTCCGGCCCCAAGTCGGGCGAAATGGTTGTCGACAGTACTGAACACGAGTTTATCATTACGTCTACGGGAACGACCACTACTACTACTACTACCCCGAGCCCTGCCATTACCACCACGACTACCAGCGCTCCCATGGCTACGGGCACTACAATTATCAAACCTATTGAGACAACGAGCAGTATTGCACCGGTGGACACATCCCAACCCACCACCGCAACCACAAGTACTACACCTGTGCCCACCACTACCACCACTACAACCACGACTCCCAGCCCCGCCATAGGTGTCAAAGAGACGACAGCAGTCGACTATACCAACGATTATTATGAAAGGGCCGACAGTATGGGCGCTAATGAGACTACTACTGAGCATAACTATGCGGCCGATAACGGGGCACAACAGGACCTGTTCAACGCCTTTACGTAGACATTACTGGCCTCAAGACAACTGTCCGCATACATGTTCACTGAGATATCACATCCCTATTACCTTAAGATATCACATCCCTGTCCACATCCGCCCCCTATTTGTTATCATTATTGCTATTATTAATAATACTGTGTTTTGCCGATTGATATGAGAAATAGTAATTAGTTTTTATTATTTATATAAATTTTGTGAAAATAATTATTAAAATTATTATACTTGTTATGATTACTATTAATTAAAATTGTTTTACTATTTGTAATTGTTGTACACTATTCACAGTAGGCTATGAACTGATTATCACATAAATTGTAGCAAGTGTGCTTTTTGTTTTAATTATATTGTTTTATTTAATTTCTTATAATATGTGATTAAATATATGCGCTTTTAATTACATTTATTATAAATAATGTTTGCGTTTATATATAGATTTTACGTTCAATTTTTATAATAAAATCATTTAATTATTACATTAATAAATTGCCTTTTATTTATTATTTATAATGTTATTTATTATTCAACTAATTTTTAACTAACCTCAGGCTTTCCAAACTTATAATAAATTATAATTATGTTATAAATATTAATATAAAACTAATAATTAATAGTAATCATAACAAGTATAATAATTTTAATAATTATTTTCACAAAATTTATATAAATAATAAAAACTAATTACTATTTCTCATATCAATCGGCAAAACAC